AAAAAAAAAAAAAAGAGAGGAAAGAGAGATTGCTCCTGATCCTAGCAGTCACCACCTTGGGTACTGAGAACTTTGGAATTCTATGTCCTACATCTGTATCTAATACTGGCTTTGTCATTATCTTGTTTTGTGCAGAGAAGGAAGTTCTCCTCACCTTTCTAAGCAACAGACTGTGTCCAGGAATAGCTTTCTACTCTAAAATTCTAGCCCTCCCAGGGGATAGAATGAAAAAGTGTCTTAGCATTTAAAAAGACAGAGGCATAGATCACCCAGTCTAACCACCCTGCCATGCAGAATTCCCTTAACAATGTCTTATACAAATGGCCTCCCCCTTTGCTGAAGCACATGCTGGGAGGAAGGCTGGGGTCACAAATAGCCTCTCTGTGGTTGTGGAATTCCCACCAGGACCAAGGGCTTCCATATCCTGCTCCCAAATCTCTCTCTTCAATTTCTGACTACTCTTAGCAGCCCCATGTTGAAAGGGACTCGAATATCATCTCATCTGGGCCTGTCTGTGGTGTGGAGGCTGTGCTTGGATGTATCTGGGATCCAGGCCTGTGTGTGGCCACAGGGACCATATGTGGACATGTCAAAAGTCCATGCATTTCTCCATGTGACCCTCCACTCTCAGGCCAATGCTAGTGGTCAGATACTCTCTGTTATCTTAGAATAAAATTTCTGCCACTCTAGCCTCTCCCATGGGTTCCCGTTTGGCTTTCTGGTTCATCACAAAACACATCCCTCATTCACAAGACATTATAAATGTTTGCATAGTCTTAGTAAAGTAAGTGTAATGTTCAACTTACCTGTAGAGATCTGGGATAAGCTTGTCCTCATACCGAGCACATAGGTTGTTGAGAAGTTGCTCATGCTGGCCAAATAGGCGGATGTAGTTGGAGGCAGGGAAAGGCTCTTTAGAAAGGCACGTGATGGTTTCCACCATTTTATACTTGTTGATATGTATTCGGAAGTAAGTCCCATTTTTTGCATTACCTGTTACTATTTCTAAACCCTGGTGGGGGGTGGGGAGTTTGTGTGGGGGAAATCAGAAAAAAACAGCATTAGAAACATTTCTGGACTTTGGGAACTTTATCATAGCAATTTATTTTTCATATGTAACAGACAGTTTAGATCTTACAACATGTTGCAAATGACAGTAATAGATAGTGACTAAACTCAACAGAAGCTAACCCTGTGTCAGCAACCACATACTGGACTTAATGACTAAAATGTTCCTCGGGATATTTTAAACTGTGATTGCATTGTTCCACGTTTCCAAATCAGTTGCTAGGTTACAACCAATTCTCTGCTATTCAATACCCCGCACTGCTAGTACAAGGAACTGGGTTTATTCTCTTCTGTGAGATGTGTTAAGATTGTTAATTTTTAAAATTTTTTTCACAGCACCACTTTTGAGAGCAACCTCCTAGTCAACAATTATCGGAAAGAATGTCAGATTTTTTTAAAAAGTTTATGTTGGGGAGGCTCAGTTGTTTGGTCAGGTCTGTTCCCAGCAAGAAGGTTCAAGTTCACGGGCAGGAAGTACACATGCACGTGCCGAAGGCTACTTGTTAGTTTGTAAGTTGTCAAAGGTGCGGATGCATGGCTTTGTGACCCCTAGAAGCTGGTTAAAACTGCCACGTGAACCCACATGGAAAGGGAAGATGCTGCTCGATAAATCCCATGTCACAATCACTTTTTCCATTTCAGTCCCTAACAGCTACTGACCTACCAACCGGAGCACGCTCCCCACCAGCTCAGGTAACCAAACTGAGAACCCTCAGTGGAAAAACATGGGTGCTATTGGTGGCAGCTGAATGTGCACTTTGCCCCTAGACTCTGAACTTAGTACACAGTTACATTAAATAAAGCTTTCCTGAGAGCATATAGATTTAAGCTTTTGCTCTGCACATGAATGTGGCATTTTAGAAATCCAAGGCAAGTTGGACTATACTGATCCCAAACATTTACTTAGTCCTCTGGACATCCCCTGTGGATTTTGTCTAAACAAGGACACATGGTTTAACTGAATTTTTAAATAAATTGAAACAACTGGCGGGTGTTTGGGCATCACATGGCAAGCCCTAGGGAGGAATCAGCCAATGGAAAGGGCACACGGTGAGATATACAGGAGAGATGTCAGGTAGACCCTGGGTCAACCCCACGTATGTGTGTGAAACTGGGTATCTGGGGGTCAGGGAGAGAGCAGATATGGCTTAGGAAAGGCGCTGGGGTGGCACCTTGAGGGAGGTGCAAGTCATCCATCACTCACAGAGATGGATGGATACAGACAGGAAATCTACCTCCATAGCAACGCGGAAGGCATCAGCTAACAGGACAAGGGTACATCCACACAATGGGATGCAACACATCCAACAAAGATCATTGGGAAACTATATTCCACAACAGGAAAATATGTTTACAGTACATTTGAGACTATTGAAGTATAGTATAAAAAGTTATATTTTACAACTTACACAGTATCGTTCTATTTTTATAAACATACACAGTATCATTCTATTTGTTTTCTATCAACACTTTAACTGTTCAAGTGGTCAATTTCTGTGGTTGACTGACTAGGTCACTGTTAGTATTTCTCTTTCTGCTCATTTGACTATCTGTCCTTTCTATTTTTTAAAAATGACTATCACTTCTAACATGATAAAAAGTTATTTTTAAATACAGTGGCTGTGTTGTGGCAAGGAATCAGAGAGGGAGAGAGAAAAAGAGAAATGAAACAGAGCAGAAGGAGCAAGGGAGAAGGAAGGAAGGAGGGAAGGAGGGACCCTGGAAGGGAGGAGTCGGATGCGGAAGAGTGGGGCTTGTTTGAACTCAAGAAGAGTATGGAAAAGGCCAGGCCTGAGCCACTGGCTGTAGACGGCCTGTTCTCTGTATCCGATCATAGCCCTCACCCTCTGCTCCTGCCGCAAGTATTTCTCTAGTCCTAGAGAGCCCCCACAGACTTTCTTCCATCGGGTGTGTTTCCTCAAGTCTTGATTTCTCAGACTGAGCAATGATCTCCCAGAGTGGGGGCATGTGACATCACAGGGTCAGCTTTACCTGGCAGCCCATTGAAGCAAAGGCTATTTCTGAATTAAATACACAAGGCGCTATGAGAGTGAAGAATGTGCCCACCACCTGTGTTCCTAAGATTAAATACAAGACTTTAAAGACCATTTGAGTTTGGCAATCGCAGCTTTAGGCTTAGCTGCCTCCCTTCCACCCCAGGCGTGGGAGGTGAACTTTTTTCCCAGGAGAGGTGCCTAGGTGAAAGTCGAGTGAGTCTCTGAGGAGGGGCTGCTCCCTGGCCTCAGTGGTAGGGCAGCTGTGGGGTCCAGGAGAGGGGTCACTGCAAAGAGCTCCAGCATAGATTTAGTGCCAGGTGTCCCCAGGGCTCACTGGGGTCTTGGCCCCTCCACCTTCTCTATAAGATTTCTTTAAGCTGAGGGATTAAGGAAGGGAACCCAGGCATCAAAGGGGCATACCCTGTGATCTACCCATATGACAGACCGGGACTTTGCAAAGCATTTCACTTCTGCTCACGAGGACTCTGTGTTTAGGGGGACTGATTTGGCCAAGGCTGAGCACCTCAACACAAGGACCACAGTAACTGAGTTGGTGGTGTCTTGACAAGTTTTTGCGGAGCTGAAGTTGCTCCACAGGAGGGTGATACAGTCAGCATCGCTTTCAATGATTTGTTGTCATGGTATCTGTTGGGGGTTGTTTGGTCTTATTTTTTAATTTAAAGATTGAATGACAGTCTTTGGGTTGCCTCTGTATGTCTTCGCACATTATAGCTATGAGGGCTTTAAGAGGGCAGAAAGCAGCCATGCTGTAGTGGAACAAAATGACCATGCCGTGCTATGAGAGCTAATCTCAACTATGGAAGTAATTTTGTCCATTTTAATGAGATCTGGCACTGTGCTAGCATAACCAGGGGGCCGTTCTGGGAATGTGGAATGCATCGAAATATTTTTCGTTGACATTAAAGACAAGCCATCTACAGATGGGCTTCTCAGACACAAATTACTCTGATAGGGCCAGGCAGACTTATCTGAATTTCCTAGGTCATTCCTAGTCACAGTTACTGACAGACTAGGAAAATCCAGTGAAGTCCAGAACTCTTTCTGCCTATCGTCACAGAAAATGGCTCCACAAAATGATGGCTTGAGGCAGCTTCCAGCCCTGCCACCCCATAAGGCATTTTGAGGTAATGATGATTTCATATACTTTCCAATTCTGTGGGATGTGTCTAGTTGCTTCCTTTATTTTAAGTATATAAATAAATTTTTAGGAAATGTGGATCTTTTTTTTTTTAAACGTGGATCTTGAATTTAAGATTTTGGCAGAGTAACTGGTTCTGGTGTAGTATTTTTCCCCCTTCCTTTTTCCTGAATACAATTATCCTTTTGAGTTCTTTATGATTTTGACAAAGGTTGGAAAATGGCTCTGGAATTCATGCCAAATGGAAGACACAGGAGTAATGAGACTTGGTGTGCAAGAAATCAAGTCCCCAGCTCTCGTGATGAACACACAATTTTTAAATTTGATGGTATCCAAGGCAGAATTTGTTGTGACAAATTTCTTTATTCCATGGTGTATAAGCCAACAAAGCATGTGGACTGGAATCTGTAAATTAGTTTATTATGTAGGGGTCCCCTTTCTTCTTTTTGTCAGGTTACCTCTCAGAGAGCTCATGAATTACTAAAGTGTCTTCTTACTTAAATATTCCAATTAGTGAGTGCTATAAAAGTCTGGTAAAATTCATCTGCAGTACATTTATTGTAAGAATAGCAATTCAGTTTCTCTAGTGAAGTATTGTTCAATGGGCTCCATTCTCAATCAATTGGTATATTTAGGTGACTGCCTGACCATTTTGGCAACAATTTTACTTAATCAAATTAATTCCAACCCCAAAAGATTGCCATGGAACCAACCTACATTTTTTTTTCTTGGAGAATAAAATGGAAAAAATCTGTTTAGATCTTCTGTACTAATTAAAAAGGAGGCCCACCTGGCAAAATGGTTAATTAAAGTCAGGGGTCCTGTTCAAATACTGTCATAGCACCAGCCAAAGAATCTATTTAAGTTGCATTCTTATTAAAACTCATTATCTTTTTTTAAAAAAATCCCTTTTTAAGGGGGTCTTTATTAAAAACCTCCTCTGACTTTATTCAGAGAGAGGGCCAGGGGTTCATAAATAAATCACACTGCATTGAGGAAATCACACAGTGTCCTTGAAGAATCTGGTTCTGTCTGAAACCAAGTCCAATATTTTCTAGCTCTTGAACCTAATATTTGAGTCCAGTTATTTATCTCCGATGACCAAAGTGCTCAGCCTCTGAACACAACATCTGGGCTTCATCCTATCTATCTAATACCCCATGTCATCGGTAGCAGATTGTATTTTCCAAAGATGGCCACAACAATGTTCCCCATCCCACATACTCATCTGCAATATGACCTTGACACTCTTCCCATTGAGAGACGACCTCTATGTCCTCTCTCCATCAATCCCGGTGGGCTGTGACTGCTTCAACAGATGGTGTGGGGAAGTGACACTGTGTGACTGTGGTCATAAGAGGCACTGAATCTCCACTTGCACTCAGAGCCCTGAGCCATCACGTAAGAAGTCTGACTACTCTGAGGCTGCCATGCTGTGAGGAAGCCCAGGCAACCAGGATCGTGTGGGTATGATGCTCTGGTCAGCACTCCCCGTGACTGAGTCCTCCCAGTCCAGCTGAGTACAAGCCTTCAGAGGATCTGCCCACTGAGTCACAACTAATCTTCCAGTCTTCCCAGCTGAGGCTCCAGACACTGTGGGGTGGGGACAAGCCATTCCCACTGTGTCCTGTCCAAATTCCTGACCCACAGAATCTGTGAGCAGAATCAAATGGCCATTTCATGTTGCTAAGTTTTATTACACAGCAATAGACAGCATAACACTATTCTCTATGATCTTTTCTTTATTTGCAAGAAAATCTGGAATCAGACCATGTATACAGGATACACCTAAAAGAATCTGGCAGAAACCCAATGGAAATAAGTTTTAAATACATAGCATCTATCCTTCCCCTGCAAGAACCAGGTTTCATTATTTATCTGAAACTGTGATTGACAACAACATCCACCACTGACTAGTTACCTGTTTTGTTCCTTAAAGGCACTGTTACTTTATATGTGATCCCTAATAGAACCAGAAATATAGAGAAGTTGGTAACTTGTTCAAAGTCCAGGGGAAGTACACGAAGAGTGGGGATTCTGATTTCCAGAAGGGAGAAAGGTGAGAGGCAAATAGCCTGTGCCATTTTGAGTCTGCCTCCCTTAAAGGAATTTTCCAACAGCTTCTACTTACATCTCATTGGCCAAAACCTGCCACAAGGCTAACCCTATTCTCAAGGAAATCTGGGAAATGTATTTATTTTACATTGGTCAGCCTGTTAACCCTCAAAAATATTCAGGGTAAGAAAACAGGCAACTTATATTGGGTGCCTGGGTGGCTCAGCCTTTAAGTGTCTGCGGGAAGCCTGCTTCTCCCTCTCCTATTCCCCCTGCTTGTGTTCCTGCTCTTGCTATCTTTCTCTCTGTCAAATAAATAAATAAAATCTTTAAAAAAAAAATAGGCAACTTAGTGTCTGCCTCACTGACAAAAAAGCAAACATGACACATCAGAAAGGCAATCCCCAAATGACAGCAAACACCAGTTTGGGACCATCTGCCAGATGATCTAATCTGAGGAGGTTGCTGACTGACCAACCACACTGCATCCTTTCTAGTTACCTTGAACCCAGGGGATATCCCACTCCACAGCTTCTGCTTTTCCTGGATGGACCTTCTGGGATAATTCAGGCAGAGCAGGAGAACAATGGGTTCTGGATGGACATCCCAGACCCTAAGCAATGTATTTGTACATTGCCACAAAGGTGGTTAGTTATCTATTGGTGCATCACAGATTACCTCAAAACTTAGCGACTTACTGTCCTTCAGCAGGTGAATGGATAAATAATTTGTGTTCCATCCAGACAATGGAATATTATTTAGCACTAAAAAGAAATTCCCTATCAAGCCATAAAAAGACATGGAGGAAACAAAGGCACATTACTAACTGAAATCATACTGTGTGATTCCAACTATATGACATTCTGGAAAAGTCAAAACTATAGAGACCGTGAAAAGATCAGTGGTTGCCGGAGGTTGTGGGGAGGGATAGATGAATAGGCAGAGAACATAGGAATTTTAGAGCCATGAAACTACTCTGTATGACAGTGTAATGGTGGACACATCATTATACATTTGCCCAAACACATAGAATGTTTAACACGAAGAGTGAACTCTAAAGTAAACTGTGGACTTTGGGTGACAATGAGGTGTTGATGTAAATTCATCCATTGTAACAAATATACCACTCTGGTGGGAGTGTTGATCACTGAAGAGGTTATGTATAAATGGAGATGGGGTACCTGGGAAATCTTGGTACTTTCCTCTCCATTTTGCTGTGAACCTAAACCTGCTCTAAAAAATATTCTATTAAAAAACACTTAATGTCTTAAAACAACAATAAACTATTACCTCAATGTTTGGGAGTCAGAAATTAGGAGCAGCTTAGCTTAGGGGACTCTGGTTCAAGGTCTCCTATAAGTTTATAGTAAAGATGTCTGCTGGGGCCACATCATCTGAAGCCTTGACTGGGGCTAGAGGATCCACGTCCAAGGCAGCTCCCTCACATGACTGACAAATTGTTAATGGCTGGTACAGGAATCCTCAATTCCTTACCACATAGGCCTCTCCAATGGGTGGCCTGGATGACCTCACAACATGGCAGTAAGTGATCCAGGAGGGTGCAAGTTAGAGCTGTAATATCTTTCATGACTTAGCCTTAGAAGTCACACACTGTCATTTCCACAATATCCTGCTGGCTACACAGGTCAGCCCTATTTCATGTGGGAGGGGACCACACAAGGGCATGAATACCAAAGGGCAAGAATCATGGGGCAATCTTGGGAGCTGGCTACCACAGTGGTTTTTCTGATGAACCAGTACATTATACTGAAGACTCTGAATAGAGAATTTCATCCCCCTGTAAACAAAGTGTTATATTTGAAAATAAAATGAAATTCAGGAATAATACTTACAAAATTAGGCTGGGCCATTTGTACCTCTAAGGGAGTTGGAATGGCAGGTTTGGCAATATGCAGATAATGGTAAGACCCAGGCAGAATGCCTCCTACGGGAAATGGCAGATTTTCCAGATTTTAATTTAGTTTTTAATGAAGTGGTAATGGAGTTTATATATCTGTATATAGCACATAGGACATAGGATAAACAGAGATGCCTACCATGGTGTATGCTACTCAAACTATCCCCCTAAAGTACTAGTATTAGCAAGAAACTACCTGAGATTGATGTTATTTAACAAAATCAATGTGAATGTGCCATTATACCCCATAATATAGCCAGCAATGCCCCAGGAAGATGTGCCAACCTAATCCTGTGTATCCTGTGATTTCCCATAACCCCTGGTACTCTAACCTATGCCTGCCAAAACCAGACCAAGACCTACAGAGGCCTTAAATGTTGCAGTGATATTCTCATTCCCTGTCACTCTTTCATTATGTAACCAAAATATTAAGCGGTGGATGTTATTAAGGAAAATCAACAAAGTTCTTGTTCAATACTTTAGAAAATTATCATTATGAAATTCTTACTATTTCTAGCTTGTCCCATAGTATGAGCTTGATCTAATTCTGGTCTTTGACACCCATCACTTCTCTTCTTTTCCCATGGCTACCACCTTTCCTAAGTTCTCAATCCAAAGTGAGACACAGAGCAGGATCTATCAGAGGCCATTTAGTTAGGTAGAAAATGACAAGGACTGGTATGCAGGGCTTATGTCTCTTTATCTCATGTTTTGTTTACTGGATTAGGGTCTATTGACACCCTAGGGGTCCATGGATGGCTTTAGAGGTTGGTCCATCAACCTCTTGGAAATGAACTTACAATTTTGTAAATATGTGCATTTTGTGGTAGAAGGTACACAACATTCAAAGACACTACTTTCAAAGATATTTCTCATCAACCAAACACAAAGAAATCCTGTATTACTCATATGATGATCTCCTTAGGTGTCAATATGGCTTAGGGGATGAAAGTGGACTGTTTTTACAGTTGTGAATGGTTTGGTTTATTCATCTAGATAAGAGGCCAAGGCCTGGGATGCTTGGAAGGGTCTCCTTATCTCTGAGCTTATAGTGAGAACAAAAGTTTAGCAAGATGTCAGGGCACTGCCCCACTAACCAGTTGTGAGTAACCTTTGGGCAAGTTACTGATTGCTCCCGGTCTCTCTTTACGTACCTGTAAAATGGGGACCATAGTTATGATGTGATCCATACTGCATGCTCAAAATACAAAGGACCACAATGAAATGCCAGGTCCATAATAAATGTTTAAAAATGAGACTGAGCCCTCCTCTGTCACTGTGCAAACCCACTGAGAGACAGAGGAGCCTCCTCACCAAGCCTAAGAGAAACATGGAGGGCTGCCCTGAGCACTGACCCAGATCCAATGTGGCTTCATCAGAGGGAAGAAGGTGGCCTACTACACACCTTGGATCTTGGCTCCCTTGTACATGGGGATGAGTCGGTCAAGATCAGCCGGCGGCTCAGTCACAGGTTCAAGGGTTGGGTCAAAGAGACTGAGCATAGCTGCTGCCAGCTGGAAGCCAATTTCTTTGGAACTGAAGCTGCTATGAGTCCACTCATTTGAGTAATATTTATTGGAGAATTTGGTGAGGGAGCCAGCTGCTCTGATGGCTATGTCATTGGTGTGGAAGTTGGTATCAATCACAAGTCGGCCGTCATAGACAAGACATGCATCATTGAGTGCTTTAAATGTTTCATAATCCACATTCTTCTCACAGAAGCTGAAGAACATCTACAAAGCAAACACTCACGTTATTACTTAGTTATCACTCTTCATTTTACTTCTCAAGAATGTGAATAGTCTGCAGAGCACCTTATTATTGGGGGCATACAAAACACCAAACCAAAACAACAACAACGTTTACTCTACTAAAATGTCATAATGGTGTGGTGTGTGTGTGTATGGAGAGAGAGACAGACAGACAGACAGAGGGAGAGACTCTGCCTTTGGTATGAAGAACAAATTAAGATACCTAATATCACTCCTTTTTGTAATCACTCAATTTAGACATCCAGTGGAGAGAAGAATGCCAAGTGATGGAATATCTCTCAGAAAAGTAATTTTTTTTCCCCTGTAAGGAGATTTACATCCATAGAGACACCACTTTTCCCTCATTTGCCTATATTTTGAATAGCTCTAGCTCAGCCTTCTTCTATTTTCCTTTTCCTGTGTCTGACACTTAAGTTTCTCCAGATTCCTTCTTGGGGTCACCTCATTCAGTCTTGAATCTTCAGATTGCCTCGTTCCTGCCCTTTTAAACCCAGAAAGCCCATCCCTGAAGGATGCCCCAGAGAGGATGAGAGCCCCATCAGCCTCAGTATCTACCAGGTCTGGGCTCCTGCCTTGTTCATTCCTGCCCTGGCATGGAAGATAGTCATTCAGTAAATATTTATGGGGTGCCTACCCTGTGACAGGCACTGTGTTATAGAGGTACCCAAAACACCTCTGCACACTCCTTAGAAGTGACCTGTATGCCCCCTCCATTCTCTACCCAAATTTCAATGCTAACTTGCGCTTATCTGTATATCTTCTTCCATAGCGATGTTGAAAGTCATTAAGGCAGTCCAAGTTAGGTGTTTTTAAATTTCCAGTTTCATTGAAATAGTTTAGTCATTTTTATCTTTACCTAAATATAGTTTGCCACCTTATTAAAAGCCTGCTAAAAAATGAACATACGTCATGGGTCCTCATCCTTACTGATAGACATCATACTCCCTGCTTCCTTCACATGCCTGCTTTATGCACCTCACTTACCTATTATGTACAGACATTAGCTGTCTTGGGCCAGAGATACTTCTCTTCCATATCCTTTTCCTATGCCCATGAATGGTGCATGAATGATGAATGATCCTATAGTAGCCACTGGTCATGTGTGACTATATACATTTAAATCTAAATTAATTAAACAAAATTAAAAATCCAGATCCTCAATTGTAGTACCTATTTTAAATGACCAAAAGCTATAATTGGCTAGTGGCTGCCATACTGAACAGCACAGATACGGACCACTTCCATCAGTTCTATTGGACAGCATTGGACTCGGATCCAGCATCTCTGTGATGTCTTTTGTTCTCCCTCGGGGAGCTCCTAGGGCCTTTGCTCTTTTCCCAATCTCTATTCATTCAGACATCCAGTGGAGAGAAGAATGCCAAGTGATGGAATATCTCTCAGAAAAGTAATTTTTTTCCCCTGTAAGGAGATTTACATCCATAGAGACACCACTTTTCCCTCATTTGCCTATATTTTGAATATAGGCAAAAATATATTTTGAATAATCTAACCCTATCCCAGTTACTCCCACCCCAGGCAGCTTCTTCAAGTCTCTTTAGAATTTGTTCTGCTTTATAACTCTTACTCAGTGACCACAGGAAAATACATTTTTCTGAGTCTTTCTCTGACTCTGGATCTTTCTGTCTCTCTACTCCTCTTTTTTCTCCCTTCGACTATGTTCCCATGATTATAAAAATAGATCTCCCACTCATATAAAATATGGAAAGCCATTTGATTTGAATTGAAATTATACACGAAAAAGAGTATCATCAGGTGCCTGGGTGGCTCAGCCATTAAGCGTCTGCCTTCAGCCCAGATCATGATCCCAGGGTCCTGGGATTGAGCCCTGCATCAGGCTCCCAGCTTGGCAGGAAGCCTGCTTCTCCCACTCCCACTCCCCCTGCTTGTGTCCCCTCTCTGACTGTGTCTCTCTCTGCCAAATAAATAAATAAAATCTTAAAAAAAAAAAAAGAGTATCATCAACCTCTTGAGCCCTTGAATATACTCAGGAGCCCCCTTCACCATCCCCATGAAAATTCTTCTACCGACCCAGTTCTTTCCTAATTAAACTTACTTTTAATTAAGTTGCATATTAAATATAATATTTCTTATTTTCCCAGATTTTAAAGATTATTCGTACTGCAATAGTATTATATTGTTTTGGTGTAGGCATTCACAATTTTGTTACACTGGGGATTTCATAGGAGTTTGTGAACCAGACTGAAAACTGAATAAGTAAATCTAACACAGTTCAAGGGAACATGTGTTCTAAGTTACAAACCTCTCAAGTGCAACTCATGCACTCCTTTAATGCCAACTTAACATTACAATACTGGATAAAAATATGAAGTAGAAATATCTGGCCACACTAGTGTTGTTCTGAATGAATATTTAAGAGTACTTTTATTTATAATTCTGATTAGGGAAAGCAAAACTCCCTGGTTAGCAGATCAGGAGTCAGTGATCTGATAAACCTCATTCATTATGCATTTACACAAACACTTCCCATGTGTTTGAACATCTTGGTGAAGAGGATAAACAAGGAGTTTATAATCTAATTGAAGAGACGGACACCAACAAAGTCATCATCCTCACAAGCAGAGGATTTCAGACTGTAATGAATAATATGTAGAAAAGGGAGACAGCCGGCTGGAGGCTGGAGCATCTGGCAGGTACCCAGGAGGCACTACCACTGGGCAGAAGGAAGCAAGGTATTGATGGGAGTCCAAAATACCATTCAAGAGTTCTGTTTCTGGTATAATGGTGTAAGCCCCTCAGACTAATCCTCTAGCTGATACAACTATAAACCCTGGTCAAAGTACAAAAACTATTACCCAAAGATTCCAATGAGCATTGAAAAGGAGATAGATGGTGTAGGGCAGTAGACACTTGGAACAATGACCAGCATGAGGGTAATTTTCCTTATTTTGGTGGAAAGAGGATAGACTATAGTCACTTTGTGTACTAGTAGAAGAATAAAGATGGTAGAGGAAAGAGTCAGTGAACTTGAAGTTACATCAATAGAAATTACTCAATGTGAAGAATAGAGAGAGAAGAAACAAAGAGATTGAAACAAATGAATAGGGCCTTAAAGACCCATGCAACAAGAAAAAGTCTAACAGATATGTGATTGGAGTCCAAGGAGGAGAGGAGAGAAGAATGAAGCAAGAAATAATGGCCAA